TGCTCTATTTTTAGGAGACATTAAATGTATTTGGCGGGAAAAACTTGCTAAAAGTGTTAAATGGTTAATCTTTTAATATAATGATAGATTTTAATTTTAATGTTTTTTGTGAGTAAATAGATTGAACTGATCAAACCAATATCTAAAACAATTAGCATGGGTCAGCCGTGCTTTGCACGGCCTATAATCTCCTAATTTATGTACACAAAACACAAAACATCAAATTGCAACGATAAGACAAATGGCCCAGCCGAAAAATAATGGACTATGCAAGGAGAATGGATGAGAGATTAGATTAGCATGGTTATGTAGAACTGTTAATTAAACGAGCTGCTTGTAAGCTCGGTTCGACTCAACTCGTTAAGACTCAAGCTCGACTCGACTCGTTTAAGCTCGAGCTCATTTAAAACTCGTTCAGTCGAGCTCGGATCAATAATGCTAAAAAAATGATTTTTATGAATTTATCTATTGTTCAACTCAATTTTGGCTCGAGCCCGACTCGTTAGTAATGATAAACGAGCCGAGCTCGAGATTATAATTTTGTTAATTTAACGAGCCGAACTGAGCTCAAAACTGCACATTTGCCTTGTCAGCAACATTCAATAATCAGGCAAATTCAAAAATAAAAAATAATACAAAAATTAGAACGAGAAGGAAAGTTTCATTCAATTGAATTTTTTAATTAATTAAATTTTTTTTTCTTTTGTANATCAACAGGCAGCAGCAGCAGCTAATCTTTGCCACACTAATTCTCGTTGTTTTTCGACCTCACTCGATCCGGCTACTGTCTCCTCATACTGCCTTTGCCACTCTCCGAATAACTCAGCATCCATCCCCATAAACATTCTTCGAACATTGACTCAATATTGTTTTCCAATGCCTCAAATATTATAGGCAAAACAACTTTTCTGTTCTGTGAAAATCAGACCCACAATGTGATCGTGTTCCATAGGAAAAAAGCCCCGTCTTTCACGTCATAGAAATGCTGTGAAGCTAAAGTTTTATTGGATCATAAAAATCATTAAAGGCAAATCGAGCTTTACACGGTTTACAGGATAACAAGTAAACAGAAAGGGAACAACAACAGCAAAAAGGTTTTACATATAATGGCTTCTCTCGATTGAAAACAAGCAACTTTCACGGGTAACAAAAGTGTAACATAATATGCTTGTGAAATAAGTCGACCGAATAATGGCTTATTCTGATCATATGCTGCAAATCTATAAACAAAATGCAATCCTAACCTATAAACATGCATTACCTATATGCAAAACAAAGAGATTGGGAAAGAGGCTATGAAAGTAAACAAGTAATTAATCATGCAATATGAAAGTTCACCAAGAGTCTTCTTTTTTTCTCCATTTGGAGAATTAAGTTTATCCTCAAATCTGCAAGAAAAAATAATACAGAGGAAGAACAAGCAAAACACAATTTGCATTACCATGGCACAAAAAATACAAACCTGAGATTCAACCAGTGTTATATAACAATATGAAGCCCGGATGGTGAAAATACAAATAAAAGCATAAAACACAATGCAGTTTTTTTCGGATTAGGGTTTAGGGTTTAGGGTTTAGGGTTTAGGGTTTAAGGTTATCTCTATCAAAGATATGAGAAATGTATTTTATACAGTCCCCATATGTACAAGAATAACAATGTATTAAAGGAATGAAAATTACAAAATCAAACATATCAACTACTGTCATAACAATTATCTTTAATTAGTTAAGCATACTAAGAAAACAAAACAACAACAACCAAACATTATCATAAAAAACTCAAACAAACTCCAAAGATATCAGCTAATCCAGATTCAGAACAAGCCCCAAAGATTACATCTAAACCCTAAATCCAAACTATTTCAAGAAAAGAAATTTGTCGATACAAACCAATCCCACGATGAATTCTCGAAATCAAGAAACAAAGAACGTGCGATTGAATTGGAATAAAAAATACTAGGAAAAAACCTAAAAAAAATCAGATTCAGAACAAGCCCCAGAGATTACATCTAAACCCTAAATCCAAACTATAATGTTCTATTGAATCAGAACAATTACCTCAAAACCACCATGAATCTCGAAAAAACAGTGAAGAAAGAATGTACGATTGAATAAAAAGAATAGGTAAAATTGGAAAAAAAAAAATTTGGACCATTTCTCGATTTATGCGTGTCATCCTTGCGCAGGGGCCATGCTAATCTTCTCTGTATCGTTCCAATTTTATCGGATGTCCCCGGAGGGACGCTCCGTAATGTAGAGGCAGTGTTATATTAAGAAATAACAGTTGATTTTGTTTTCTGATGTGGGACAAAAATCGAGAGCTTGTACTGATCTGCTCTTCCCTCTTGTATGTATATGGGCCGATGGACTTTTGGACGTTCACTTTTTGTTCGTGGGCTGAACTTTATTGTATGGGAAGTTAAATCTTTCTAGAATTTTTGCTCGTGGGCTGGATTTTATTGTCTGGGAAGTTATATGTTTTCTTGGCAAGATGGCGGTATGGATGTGGATATAATTACTATTAAAATGTAATATAAAATTTCGCCAAAAAAAAAAATGTAATATAAAATAGCCACGTATTATTTAGATTTTTATTTTTATTTTCAATTGAAATAACTAATTGATGTTTTTATATCTTCCTGTAAAAAAATTATTTATTTAATTACGTTTGAAAAAGTAGACATACTTATTCCAACATACATTTGGCTCTCTAATAAAAAAAAAACATACATTTGGCTCACCAAAATTTTCACGAAAATAAGTGACAATTACAATAAGGTAAAATTGACCACTTATTATTCTCAAGTGAAAAGCTGAAGACGATATTCCATAGCACATAATTTGTACTGTATTTAATATTTATGAACCACATTCTATAGTCACACAATTATACAATCATCCTAAATTTACCAACTCACAAATTTTTTTTTTATGCATCTACAACATATTATGAACTAATAATAGATAAGAAAAAGCTATATACATACACTGCATAAAATTTACAGAGAAGAAAAAGAGAGAAAATAGAGAGGATTTCCCAACTTAAAAGTTGGGAAATGAGAGGTGATATTAAAAAATACAAAGCACAATGTCTATTTATAGCTACACCTCAAACACATACTAAAACACACACATTTACTAAACAGCACTCCCGAGGTCGCCAAAATTTTCGCGAGGTCGCGAGTGTGCAGCGCTGGCCCTGGACACTCTCGAGGTCGCGGGCGTGCGCTGGCAGGGCGCGGGTCACGGCTCGGGTGGTTCGGTTGGCTCGTTCGGGTCGGTCGGCTCGGCTCGTTTTCCCAAGCTCATCAAAATGGACCTAATTAACACCAAAAAGACAAAAAAAATACGCCGAACCACAAAAACACAATACGAGAATAAAAATGCACGAAACACTATAAAATGGATCGATCAACACTAAACCGGACCTAAAAATACTAAATTCAAACACATAAAATACATGAAAATAAGCACAAAAACACAATAAACACTTCGTCAAACATAGTTATGGTTGCATTGTGTGATGCATGGATGACATTCAAAACAACCATGTATCTACAATTAATAAAATAATAATAAGTATATAATATATTAAAAATTATTTGATAAGTAAAATTTATTCTATGTGTACCTAGGATTGGGTTCGACATTTTCCTCTTTGTATTTGTTGCAATTTGTTGTATCTTTGGTTTTGAAAACAGAAGTGGAACATTTTGTGCCTGCATCGTACGACAAGAACAATTTATTTTCAATTCTATCAACAACTCCTTCGAAACAATAATACATATCCTTAAAAAATATAAAAAAAAAAAATAATTAAGAAAATATTATAATGAAACTGAAAAGAAAAAAAGGAAAATAATTTTACCTTGTATAATTTTATTGTCTATGATGGTGATGAGTGTCACTTGATTTGTCAACTTAATTCTTTGAATCATTGCTAATTGTCGGAGTTAAATCCGATAATACCCAAGGATGGCGCTCCTGGTTATTTTAAATTATATTTCGTCCAGCCGAAAAATGAGATAAAAAGCAGGAGGAATATTTTTTAAAACTGCAGTTTTAGCAATTAAAACATGTAATCAAGGTTTCT